GTATATTTGGTGTTTGAAGCAAAATCAGTGAGAGGACTTTTCAGGGTAACTTTATGGTAGTGGCATTTTTTGTGAGGTTGAGCTGTTTTATTGTCCACACTATGGAAATCTGATTCCATTGTGCTCTTCCAAATATAGAACATCTAATGTAAAATAGGAAGTTGAAAAGTGATTTTCTTTATTATATTTTGAGTCGTCTTGTGTGTGGATTGTTCATCGTCTTTTTTTTTTATCGTTTCCTATTTAGAATATTCTCTCATTACTAAAATGCATGCCTTTCAAATGTGTCAGATCACACAGCACAAGTGGGCATGGCCATTTATGCAACCAGTAGATGTTGAAGGACTTGGGTTGCATGATTACTATCAGGTCAATCATCATGCTTATCTTGTTCCACTTTTGTGCTTATCTACATGTGGAAAGTAGTGCATATGATGTGATAAACACCCACTTCTTTAGAGAATAGTTATACTGCTAATTGCTATGCAAGATAGCATTGCAGTTTATCTCTTACTAAATTTGCACAGATATACTTCTATTCCTTCTTCCCATGCATTAAGTTTTAGAAATTTACGTGCTGCAAACTTTTTTTCTCGCCTCTTTTTTGTCTTTTATGATTTTGATAATCATGTTTTGAAGGCAATTGTGGGCTTGGATTGATTTGTCATGGGTGATGTATATCAGATAATTGACAGGCCCATGGACTTTAGTACAATAAAAAACCAAATGGAGGCCAAGGATGGTACTGGGTATAAGCATGTCCGGGAGATATGTGCTGATGTGTGCCTGGTTTTTAAAAATGCAATGAAGTACAATGATGAAAAGAGTGATGTTCATGTAATGGCCAAAACCTTATTGGAAAAATTTGAGGAGAAGTGGCTGCAGTTTTTGCCAAAAGTTATGGAAGAGGTAATTACAAATCTTACAGCTTGCACCACCGTAAAGAATTACAGCATGGTTACTTGTGATGAGGATGTCACATACACTTTTTCTCTCATTCGTACTCTTCTTCCTTGAGTACTAGCAATTCAGGCAAAAACTCTCTTTTGCTCAATGGACACTCTGGTCTGGATCATACATGGAAAGACTTTATGGTCGTTAGCCCTACCTTATGGCCTTTGCCAAAAATCTCCACTCTCTTTTGTTCCCCCACAAAGTAACTCACGCATCAAATAATTTGGATAGCTGTTGCCTTCAACATCTTGTATTTGCAGGAAAAAAGACGAGAAGGGGAAGAAGCAGAAGCACGCTTTAACATGCAGCTCGCCCAGGAGGCTGCTCACATGAAACTGGCCAGGGATATAAACAATGAGGTACAAACTATGAAAGAAAATAAATAAATTTTAGTTGTCCATTCCCTCGAGCATTCCATGGCGAATTTTCTAATATCATCTTTTTTTTTTTACCACAATAAATGAGTTGATAATCCATCTTATGTTTGTTACAGCTTTATGAGGTTGATATGCATATTGAAGAACTCAGGGAGATGATTGTTAAAAGATGCAGGTCAGTGCTAATGTAATAACTGTACAGTTCAATTTTGTCACTGTATTCATGTTTTGTGGTTAATATCTAAGTAAGGAATATCCCTGTCCTCTGTCTGTTCCTCCTACTCCATTCCCCCCTACTTCAACCAACACCTGCAATTTCATTAACACATTTTAAAGACCTTATGTTCCTTGTTCTTAGCATTGAATAGACTGGTATTGACCTTTATATCAAGATTTTTTGCTCTGTGTCTTTACGTAAATGTTTTAGTTCTATACATTTCTTGAACACAGACATATTCACTCACATGTGCTGTTGTGGAGGAATAATTTATATTGATGAACATGCTTAGGGCCAGTCATAGGAACTGACAGATTTTTGGTTCATTTGTTTAATGACAATTGAAGACGGAGTATGGGCTCCATAAGGATTTTGATGAGTTGTTTATTTGTTTCTCTCTGCTGCAAATGTTACTTTATTTGCAACTGTTGTTATTTTTTGTTATCTTCATATCTTGTCATTCAATGGTATTTATGAAAGCATTGCTCCAGACGTATATCTATTGCGGAGAAAAGAAAACTCGGGATTGATCTCACCAAATTATGTCCTGAAGATCTTAGCAAGGCACTAGGGATAATAGCTCAAAATAACCCCAGCTTCCCATTGACAGCTGAAAACGTGGAGCTTGACATCAATGCACAGGTTCCTATAAGCATTGTACTGTATCCTTTTTATGTTATATTCACTTTTGGCATAACTTGGTGAAGTGATTTTATCTGGGGTGCAGAGTGAATCAACACTGTGGAGGTTGAAATTTTTTGTGAAGGATGCAATAAAAGACGAGCACAAGAATTCAAACGAGGATGATGATAATAATAATAATATCACTAAGAAGTATGCTGCTACTGCCCAAAATAACGACACTGCCTCCAAACGCAAAAAAGAGATATGTGATGCAGTTGCCAAGGTTGCCAAGCGTCGGAATAAGAAGCTTGGTTAATATATATGCTAGCAGGTCAATGTTTTCTTACATTTAGAAGTATAGAAGAGAGGCCATAGGGTATTAACTCTGACAGGTGTAAAAGGAAAATGAGGAGCTTGCAAATCCTAGTGTTCTGATAGGAGTTGGCCAGATTTTAAGTTATAAAAATGATTACCAGTTGCCTAAAATTGAATTTCCTTTCGGAAAAGTTATAGTTGGGGTTCCCGACTCGTGCATAACGTAGAAACTGGGTTTCATTCTATTCTATGTTTATTGGCACATCTGTCGAGGACGTTTCAATTTTTACTAGTCAAATTGATCGATAGGAATCCCAAATGTTAAAAAATTGAAAGGTAGGGGACTTGGATAGCGAAGAACATCTTTCTATATATAAAAAGTGCATATTTAACGAAATTTGTTGGTTTAACAGAAAAACTAACGGAATTTGTTGTTTTAACGGATTATGCAACAGAATTTCTTGTTTTAAACAGACAACTGCACCTTTTATATTAAAAGTGGCTATATAACGGAATTTCTTGTTTTTAACGGAAAAACTAACGGAATTTGTTGTTTTAACGGACTATGTAACGGAATTTCTTGTTTTAAACAGGCAACTGCACCTTCTTTCAGTGTTTTTATCATAACTTTGTATTTCGATATCCGATTGATACGATTCAAAATGCGTTCGAAAGCTAACCCATCTGACTACAGCTTTGATTCAGACATCATTCTCCAATTCGATCATTTTCTATGTCAAAAATATGTCTTAATATAACGGACTATGTAACGGAATTTTTTGTTTTAAACAGGCAGCTTCACCTTCTTTCAGTGTTTTTATCATAACTTTGTATTTCGATATCTGATTGAGTCGATTCAAAATGCGTTGAAAAGCTAACCCATTTGGCTACAACTTTGATTCAGACATCATTCTCCAATTGGATCACTTTCTATGCCAAAAATAGGTCTCAATATAATGGACTATGTAACGAAATTTCTTGTTTTAAACAGGTAGCTATACCTTCTTTCAGTGTTTTTATTATAACTTTGTATTCTGATGTCCGATTGAGGCAATTCAAAATTAGTTGGAAAGTTAACTCATCTGGCTACAACTTTGATTAAGATATCATTCTCTAATTCGATCACTTTCTATGCCAAAAATATGTCTCAATATAACGGATTATGTAACAGAATTTCTTGTTTTAAACAGGCAGCTGCACCTTCCTTTAATGTTTTTATCATAACTTTGTATTCCGATATCCGATTAAGGTAATTCAAAATGCGTTGGAAATCTAACTCATTTGGTTACAACTTTAATTCAGACACCATTCTTCAATTCGATAACTTTCTATGCCAAAAATAGGTCTCAATAGAACGGACTATGTAACGAAATTTCTTATTTTAAGCAGGCGGCCGCACATTCTTTCAGTATTTTTATTATAACTTTGTATTCTGATGTCCGATTGAAGCGATTCAAAATGAGTTGGAAAGTTAACTCATCTGGATACAATTTTGATTCAAACATCATTCTCCAATTCGACCACTTTATATGCCAAAAATAGGTCTCAATATAACGGACTATGTAACGGAATTTCTTGTTTTAAACAGGCAGCTGCACCTTCTTTTATTATTGTTATCATAACTTTGTATTCCGATATCCTATTGAGGCGATGCAAAATGCGTTGGAAAGCTAACTCATCTGGCTACAACTTTAATTCAGACATCATTCTCCAATTCGATCACTTCCTATGCCAAAAATAGGTCTCAATATGAGACTAAAACACCGGAGCATAACTTTTCGGTTGGAAATTGATTTGTGATCATCTTTTGACTAAATTTGATCCCCTTGACATCTTCCTTTATCCAATTGACTCCGAGCACTCTCAAATCTTCATCGTGAGATTCGGCACAACTTTTAAATATTTACATTTTAGCCCCCGAACTTTGGATCCCTTACAATTTAGCCATTTCTCCAAATTTGTCTACTTTTGCTTATTTTCTTCAATCTCACCAACCTACATCACAATATCAAAATCACACATCTAATTATTTATCAATTATATAAACATTACATCATTAATTATTTATAGGGTGTCTGTTTCTGCTTTTCAGCAGAAATCAAGCCGTTGGCAACACAATTCATGTCGTTGGGAGCCGTAATTTTGGATCAATTCTCTCACTGTAGGGCTGTAATTTTGAAAAAAAAAAGGGTAACATAATCAATTTTCCTTCCTCCTTGCAGCGCGCCAAGATACGCTCTTAATTAACCAAAAAAATTACATCTTTATTAATAACAAATTAATTATTAAACAAAAATATTAAATATAAACTAAGCAAATGTGCATTACACGTTGTTTGCACCTAGTAGATAAAAAATTTCCTCATTTGTACTTTAGTTTACTGCTTTTTGCCCAGTTCCATAAATGTTATCGTTATTTGATTATTAACACTTGAGATCTTTTCAGTTATAAAAATGATGTTTAGAACAAATATGGTTTATATTGGAAGATAACTTTTAAAACAAAGACATCAGTAAATTAGTGCTATAATTAAAGGTAAATGAGGCAAGGTGCAGAAAGAGAAATATGATGGATAAGATTAAATGTGCAACCTCTGTAATCTAATAAATAAGAGTTAGGGCTCATTTGGCATGTCTTTTGATATTAGAAAGCTTCCTCTGAACATGTTAGAGGAAGTTGGTTCAATATAACTTCTCTAAAATTACCTTTGGAATGAGAAGCTCTTCTAAAATTTAGTTTTCAAACAAAAATAAAAGTAATTTCTTCCAAAACATTTCTATAAGAATAAAAGCAAAAGTAAAAGCCATGTCAAACAAGGTCCTAATTAGTTTTTCACAAATACGTCACATTTTAATTACATTATTGTGTTTTAATTTTTACTTATTGTCACATTTTTGTCTCATAGTCAACCGTTGTTGCCTTGATTTCTTAGCCCTTGTTTGATATTGTTTTATTGAGCTTTTTGGAGAAAAAAAAAATGAGTTTTTGGAATATTGATTTTTCTTTGGAGAATGTGTAGTTAAAAAGTAAGAAGAAATTTGGAGTTAACGTGCAAAACATTTTATTATGTGAATGTGAGGTTAAAAATGAGTTTAAGAAAAAAATAATTTTAATTTAATGGAGGTCAAATATGGATAATCTTTGAAAGTCTAATAGGGGTTTTATCGAGCAGGAATTCAGGTGGAGTCATTACTTGAATAGTTGCCAAAGTAATCCATTAGGTAGTTTGCATCTATCCTCCTAACCTCATATGTCAAAACTGTTGGAATTTGGTTTAAAGATTGGAAGATTTGGTTAAGCATAAATTTAAAAAGTGACTTTGTGTCAACTTCGGCCAAATATTCGGACTTGATCCGATATTCAAATTAGAAAAATAAATAAACTAACTTGTTCTATTTGTCGAGGAGTCGTCGTAGTATATTTGGAATCTCAAAATCAATTTCGGATGAATGAGAAATTGGGGTCCAAAATTGGAAGAAAAACGTAGAGAAAAAGAGGCATAATCAACTAACAATGCCGCTCGAGCTAGTGGCAAAGCTGTAGCTCGATCGACACGCTAGAGGCAGGTGAGTGAAAAGTTCCTGTTAAAGAGGTATCCCTGGCGCTCGAGCAAGAGGCTAACGATAAGCTAGCGACAACAAGGGATGCTTCCCCTCGTGAAAGTTGCTGAATTTTGGGGTGTTTCTTTTTACTCACAACCTCTCCACTTCTATAAATAGGACATTTGGACGTCTATTATGCATCCATAATCATTTGCATTAATTCTTGCAAAATTTCTCCAAAAATCATTCTAAAAGTTATTTTCTTGTAGAGAAGAAAAAATTGTTCGAGTTCACTGTTGCTTGTGGTTTAAAGTACTACTACCACAAGTTGTATCTTGGGAGACGTGCTATAATCCGTTAACATCGTTGTGGGGCAATTTTGTTTTAAGGAGAAAATTTTTTATTACTTGCCCCATATTTTTCTTTCGTCTTTCATTATCTTTCCTTTCTTTCGTTACGCCCCTGTGAATTAATCTTTACCTTTCACTTTGTCAATTACAAACAACAATTTCACTACTCAAATAAACAACAATTTTAAGACAAAATTGTGTGGTTGTTGTTGAAACCAAATCATAATTTTCTTCATCTTTGGAATAAGCCTTCATGTGCTAGTCCATTCTTATCTTTTCTTGCGCTGAACTTCTGTTTGTGTAACAAAAATGACATTGTTAACGCCATTTCTAGCCAAACAATTAATGGTATGAACCATGTGGTTGCACCTTTGGCTATATCAATACCAAGCTCTCATATCCTAAATGGGGAAAAACTAGAAAGGTTTGGAGGTGTGAACTTCAAAAGATGGCAACGAACGATGTTGTTCTATCTTACTACTTTGAATTTGGCAAAGTTTTTAAAGGAAACCACTCCTACGGTACAAAAGGATAAAATCATTGTGAATCGATTATTGCCTTAGATGCATGGAATCACTCAGATTTCCTTCGCAAAAATTATATACTAAATGGTTTGGACAATACACTATATGGAATATATAGTTCGATGGACTCGGCTAAGGATCTATGAGATTCATTCGAGAAAAAGTACAAGATCGAGGATACTAGAACAAATAAGTTCATTGTCGGCAAGTTTTTGGACTACAAAATGGTAGACTGCAGACCATAATAAGTCAAGCACAAGAACTTCAAGTTTTATTTCATAACATACATGTAGAAAAGATGAAATTGAGTAAATCCTTCCAAGTTACAACCATCATTGAGAAACTCCCTCCTCTATGGGGGATATTTCAAGAATTATCTAAAACACAAATGTAAGGAGATGAACTTGGAGGAGTTAATAGTTCGTTTGAGGATTGATGAAGACAATAGAAAGACCAAAAGAAAATCCATTGTTTAACTTAGAGCAAATTTTGTCGAAACTGGTTCAAAGGTCATCAACAAGAAGCGTAAGATCTCCGGTGATGCACCAGAAGAGACAACTCCTACAATGCTAGGAAATTTAAAGA